GAAGAGAAAGACGCTGCCTAAAAAGAAGGAGAATCAGAAGTAAAAAAGAATTGAAAGAGGAAATTCTACTGAATATATAGTCAATTAGGAATTTGAATAATGTTAAGGTGGATTTACAACTTTGTAAAGACATTATAATTTAGAAAATTAGAAACATTTTAAACACAAAAATCTTTGTATTCTTTTTGTATAATATAATAAAATCTTCATTTTCTGTAAATTAAATTGTTCTTATATTTTTGTGATCTTTATTTCATATTGTACCTTTAATCTCGTATTTCATCTAACAAATTGGCATTGGATTAATCCAATTCCAATTTTCTACACAACATACCACTTATATTACATTTTAAACCTTATGTAACCTTTATATGCTCTTGAATCTCTATAAGTGCAGCAACAACATTTGCAACCTCCTTTGGATTGTTGTCATAAATCAAATCTTTCAGAGCTTCTAGAAAACCTTTTTTTGAGGGAAGTGATGATGGTAGAGTCAATCCTTTAAGACCGTTACTAGACTTCAAGCAGACCTCGATCTAGGAGTTGACTCAATCCACATTGGATCAACATGCGATTCTGTTCCTTTTACATAGGACTTCGACTCCTAGGCCAAACTGACTATATGATAGAAACGGATCCCATGATTGGAATTGAATCAAGATGATTGATCCTCTAAGGAATGTTACAAGTTGCCTAGCTTAACGAAAATAAAGAAAGCCTCAGTTAGAGTAGAGTGACTGGACCTTATGAGTGAATTGCCAGGGTAGTGATAATGGCAGCTTAAAAGCAATGTTTTTCATTTTTAGAAACTTTGCTCAAGGTCCCCTATTATTGAGGTCGAAGATCCGTCAACATATTTCCAACCTCTCAAAATGGATAGAACGAAGATGAGTCATTAAATGTTAAACGCTTCTTTCTTCTATATTCAGGACCTCAAGCAATCATGCCGAACAACAAAGGATAAAGTGTAATAAAGGTGGTGCATTCCTCCTCATCATAAAATGGACTTAACAACCCCAAGCAACCTCACCTATCCCTAAATAAGGATGGATGATTCGACGCTCAACAACTCTAGCAATAGATCATACGGGGACACCACCACGTCCCTTCTTTTAGGTTTGGGAACGACTATCAGTTTATTCTATTTTCCTGCACTAGAAAATAGTTGTAATTCATTCTCATTCCACAAGCGTCCAACATTCCTAACTAATCTATGTATATGAGTACCCAAAGATGTGTTGAGAAATTATTAATTTGTTATGTGGACCTACATATATAATTAGTTGTGTATAAAGATTTATCTTAAAGCTAAGCCCAAAACTAAAACAATATAATAAAGAATGAGAAGACTACATAACTACAACATTATAAAAACACATTTCATAAATAACAAACTCATTGAAATATTTCAAAAATCAGGTGGTAAATATATTTATTAAATATTAAACTATAATATAATATACATTAATTATTTTTACTCCATGCCACCTCACTCACCCCATCTTATCACTTCACTACACCACCTTCCCTCCACCTCTCCACCAGAGATAGTCATCGGCTTTGGCATTCACTCTGCGACTGCTCAGGCGGCAGCAGCTCTGACAATTGGTCCGGCAACCGTTCCGTCAAACTGCTGAACATTCCGGTGACTACTCAGGCAAACTGATCCGACGACTATTCCACCGATTGTTTTGGCTCCGGTAATAGAAAAATCTCCAAAAATTGTGATGATCATAGTGGTGCATTGTAGTTATCAGATTTGCAACCGTGTTATCCGTGATCATACATGTGTTATATGTGACCAATTCAATGACTTATGTTATCCGAGAATCATCCTGACCAACTTTGCCTTTGATGTGACTAATTGTGATCAAATTTGTATTCAGTGTGACTGTTTGTGACCAGATCAATCTGAAGTCACAACTGATCACAATCAATAAAAAATTGGTCACAATCAAATCTCGAACAGAAAAAATCAGATCTCCAACCACCACAGCAGATCTGTTCGAAAAATAATAACCACCACCACCACTACTAACATCTTTAACCCAAATTGATGATAATAAATACTACATCACCTCAAATCAACAACAATCATCACTACCATAACTTCCACCAATCCTTTAAAAAACACCAACTAGCACCACTGCACTTATCTTTTGTGAAACTCTGGTGAGAGAAGTGGTAGGTGATTGGAATCTAGAGGATGAGTGGGGAAGAAGTCGTAGATCTGATTTTTGGGTAAGAGTGCCGAACTAATTTTTAGGGGAAGAAATAGAGTGTATTGATACAAGATTTGAGTTAAATTGATATAGGGTCTGTGACCAAGTTTGTATTTAATGTGACTGTCTGTGACCAGATCATCTCAAGTCACAACTGGTCACAATCAACACAAAATAGGTCACAAATAGTCACAACCAAATCTCGAACAAAAAAAAATCAGATCTCCAACCACCACAGCAAATTTGTTTGAAAAAATAATAACCACCACCACTACTAATATCTTTAACTCAAATCCACAACAACAATCATCACTATCATAACTTCCACAAACACCTTCAAAAAACGCCAACCAATTGATTACTGAATATTTCTCAATAACGATTTTCAAGATTTTTCTTCAGTTATTTCTTGAATAGATGAGGAAGATTATGAGAGAGAAGTCATAGATTTGATTGTTCTTCACCATATGGTCCCCACGTTCACGTTCGATTTTCTTCTCCTCACAGACTGATTCTGCTTTAGGTAACCCATGTACTACATTGGCACTTCCCCAAGATCTAAGCTCATCAACTTTCAAAGAAGAGATTTGTGCGAAACTCCGATGAGAGAAGTGGTAGGTGGCTGGAATCTAAAGGGCGGGGTTGGAGAATAAGCCACCGATGAGATTTTTGGGTAAGAGAGTGCTGATCAATTTTTGGGGAAGAGAGAGAGAGAGAGAGAGAGAGAGAGAGAGAGAGAGAGAGAGAGAGAGTATGTGTGTGTAGGTTAGAAAATGAATTGGGATATGAGGTAAAAGAAGTGTTCAGGGGTGGTAGAGTGGCTGGGTGTAATTAATTAATTTTAAAATTATTATTTATCACCTGACTATTGAAATTTAATCTTTCACCTACTTATTTTAGAAATGTAATGTTGAAAAGAAGGGATCTAGGTAATTTTCTCATAAAGAATTAAACAATTGGGCTTTTGGTATCTAAATATGTGTAGAAACCAAATTCTTTTAGAATTGTATTTTATGATGGACAAAATACATATGAAAACTATATATATGGTTATAGTCCTCAATTCATATGTAACTTTTCATTCTTTATATCATCTCATCAATACAAGAATATGAGAGAAAGTATACTAAAGAGGAAGATTCACAAAAATCCACAATCAAGAGCAGGCAATCCAAAATCAGGAATTAAGATTATGAAGCAAGAAGCCAAAATCAAGATAAAACACTCAAGAATAAAATAGAGTCAATATTCACAATTCAAGATCTTCAATCAAGATCCAGTATTAAAGAATCTCAATGAATTAGGGTATGTTCCATATTCAATAATTCTCTTAGTGATTGACATAGAAGATCTTGACATTAAAGTAATTGAGCTTTCAAGTTATGAGATTTAGAGTTCCATAAAAATTCTAATAAGATGTACTTTCAATGGCAAGAAAATATCCTGCAAAATAAGAATCAAGCGATTTGCTCAAAGTCCTAGCCAATAGTTAGCTTGAATACTAGTCATGGTTTTTTATTATGGAGTTTTGGCCTATCGAAAGACCATTATTTCTGCAGAGGGGAAGCACGTCAACCTTCCTTAGCTAGAAAGAATGTTGGTTATATTTTGCAGCAAGTTTAGACATGCAAAAAGTGCTAAACCAGAAGGTAATGCACTATACAATCAGGACTATAGTTTCTTGTTGCGTTTTCTTATTTTTCTCGATTATGTTAATCTCATCTGATATGAGTTACTATTGGAAAAACTCACATTGACTCCATACCCATTACTATATTTCATTATATAAGTAAAATTAAAAAGAAAAAGAGCGAGAGAGAATCTCACATTGAAATAAATTCAGTGACTAAGAAAGGACGCATATATAAGTTGGGAACCATTCACTCCTCACCATAGACACCCTCTCATATTTTAAAAATATCATCAAACTTACCGATCAAAAAAAATATCATCAAACTCCCTTCTTTCTAAAACTGAGTATCACATCACATACATCCCCGATCACTTTTGAGCAATATATCATTTAAGTCGAGATTAATATATCTAAAATATTCTTGAAAAGAAATATACATGATTAGTTGAAATTTAGATTGTTCAAAGTAAACTATAAAAAATATATATTTATTTTTTATATACAAAATTCATTTCCTAAAGAATGTTTTCCCTTGAGTCAAATAAGTTAAGTAAGCCAGGCAAATTTATTTATTTTGTTTTGAAATAATGCAAGGATTAATACATTACATTAGTATAGTAATCTATTATGTAACATGATTTTAATTTAATAATAAACTTTAAAGGTATATAATGTTTTCATAAATTAATGTATGATATTTTTAAGTTAAATTTTACTTGAATTGTGAAAAGACATTTATTTTAGTTTATAAATTTATAAACATAAAATTTATTGATTAGTTTGCATTTATTAATATTTAAGTTATGTATATGTAATACATATACTAAAATTAAAACTTTAAATTATTTATTATCAAATTTTAGATATAAATTTTCACAAGCATGCTTGTTTAGAATTGTGAATGCGTAAAATGATTAAGTATTAATTAATTAATAAAGGGAAAAGACATAATTATGGTTAATTGTAGAAAAAATTAAATAGCATTCTCAAAAATGTGCAAGGATGTATGTTACAGTGAAATATAAAAGTCGGAGAAATTAATAATAATTTTAAAACGTGAAGGGGTATTTTTGATATTATAAAATAGGTAAGGGCTGTCTCCGTATATTTATATCTGCCATTGCCACCGTGAAGAAGCAATTCTGTTTCCTTTCTTCATACTCCTCATCTGTACGTTCAATAAAGTGATCAATTTATATTTATAAACCGTAATAAAATTTTCTACACGTTATTTTAATATATTTATTTACATCTGAAAGTGTTGAATATAGATCTGCTTTACCTTGTTCTTAACCATTCACCAAATTCAATAGTGGGTCCTCTTTCTCTTTCTCTGTCGATTTTTCATTTTTATTTCAGTTTTTGTTATGGTTTTTTGTATTATTTATTAATTGATTGGAAATTCTGGTTACAGGGATTTAAAATTTGAGAAAATTATGGAATCGTCGTCATCGTCATTATCATCGCCTCCGGAATTCGATTATTTGTTTAAGCTGTTGTGGATAGGAGATTCTGGAGTTGGGAAAAGTAGCCTTTTGCTCAGTTTCACTTCTGATACTTTCGAGGATCTCTCTCCAACCATTGGTAAATCTATTGTTCTCTCCCTTAATTTTGTATACGATTGCATATTATCGGATGGGAAAAGAAGGTATGCTTGTTTATTTATGTGATTTAATTCATTGAGAATCAATGTGGAATATTGAATATGTTGATGAATGCTGTGAAATTTTTTCCGAGTATGATCATGATGGAAGCTTGAGAAATAGCGCTATACATATATGTGGGAGTGTGTGGGTTTTCCTTGGTTTCGTAAATTTTCAACCTAAATGGCTAGTTTAATTAAAATTGCTAATTGCCAATTTTGGGGGTCTGGCTGATCTGAGAGAAGACTTCTTAATGTTTTGGGAAAGTATTATGCCCAATCAATTCATCTGAAGTACTGTGGGATGTAATTTACTTGAATAATGCCATTCAACTATCGGCAGTCTTCACTATAAATAACATTACTCAATTTACTTATTGGTGACACTCTCAGGTTGGCACCAGGGTTTGTGCATTAGCTGTATTGTTGGTTGGCCTTTTATTTGAGAATTCAAATGTTCAAATAAATTTTTTCCTTAGAAAAAAATCCATTAGTGTGTAGGTGGTTTTTTTTTTGGGGGGGGGGGGGGTGGGGGGGGGGGCATTGATCACCCATCTTGTCTATTAACATAAACCCGAATACAACTGGAAGGGGATAGGCCAGCCTTCCTATGGCGTTACATAAGTAGGATAGCTTTATTTTTGCTTGTAATTCTACTCCTACTTGAATCTTTATTGGAGTTGGACAAATGTTCAAATTTAGATAAACGAGGAGGGTTGCAGTAAGTTGGTTATCAACACAAACTCTGTCGACTCTTATGACCTAAATCTTTGTACAGTTATTCATTCTATAAGGGCGCAGATAATAATAGAACAATTGTGTGCAACTTATTGTTGTAATGCTGTTCTTGTAGACAGTATTATCAATTTAATTAGTCTTAAAGTCAAATGTTGGACTTCATAATTTTCTTTGATCACTATCAACAGGTGTAGATTTCAAAGTAAAGCATGTTACTGTTGGAGGGAAAAAATTGAAACTCGCAATTTGGGATACAGGTAAAAATGTCTTATAATGTATTTGGAAAAAAAATAAAATTAATGTACAAGTGTATATCTGATTAAGTTATCTACTGTGTATATATATTCTTTTATCTTCTTAGATTTTGTTTTCCTGCAAATTTTTTCTTCCGAATCACATTCTGCTATCTTTTTCTCTTTGCACATTGATGCGAAGATGATAGTTTATACCAATGTTGAAGGAGCAGCAATTGCTGTGCTTTCTCTGGCCCTTATAGTTCCTTTTTTCTCTGAATCTGACTATAATGGAATCTGTTAACTTGTATAATTGTATTGCTTTCTTGTTTAGTACAGGCTTAGAGGTGTTCATCACACCTATGCTCTTATAGAAAATTTCCGTTTTTCCATGTCTGTCCAGTTTCGTATGAATGATGTATACAATAACCCTAGGAATTTAATTCTTTTGCTTGATGGACTGCATATCTTAGATGATTTACTAAATCTAATTTCTGATTTTGCAGCTGGACAGGAAAGATTCAGGACTTTGACCAGTTCATATTACAGAGGAGCTCAAGGAATCATTATGGGTATGTTCTTTCCACTTGATATTTCCTTCTCTAAACTCCTTTTTTTTTTTTTTTTCATATTTTTTTGTGTGTAACCTAAATTATTTCTGATAGAATTTCCTTTCAAAAGCTGCATCATGTAAAATAGAAAGCCAATTCGAACACTCCAGTCTGCTGAATAAAAGTAGCATCTCTTATGATATTACAATTGGAGAATCCCGGTTAATTAAAGTAATTTTGGCTAAAGTAATATATTGGCTCTAGTCAGTCGGTCATGACTGAAGTTCATTCTTGAAGGTAGTGTTATGGCCATGCAAATACCAGAAATTTGGGTGGGAACATGAAATGGCTTATTTAAGTGATTGAGCAGACTTATTATAGTAGCATTTATGTCTTTGTTCGTCTATAGTCACCACCAGTTGGCAGTCTTTCCTCATGATGCTTACATAGATGTTCATTTTCTTTTTGGGTCCCATACCCCCTCCCCCAACCAAGCTTCCAGCTTATGCCATTTAGATAAATATCTAGTTGTCTGTCTTTTGGTTGCATGGCATAGTCTTGCATTTTAGGACATTAATGATAGACATTCACACACTTCAAGATCATATTAAATCTATTCAATCCAATTTTCACTTTTAACTGGTTTCTCTAGAATCACTTGCCAGTTTTTTGTCTTCTCGTATATGTCCTTTATTTTTCTGCCAGCATGTCCAGTTTGATGCCTCTCCGTTGCTTGATTTATTTTGCAATTTGTGGACGTTGCATTATGCAGCATTCATTTCACTTTATACTACAGACTTGCACATTTACAAGGTATCATGCAATTTATTTTTCCTGATTTCCGTTTTCAATCGATATAGCCCTTGTTTGGGCTCCATTAAAATCGAATTTTGGAGGAAAATATATTTTGCAATAGTGATTTTTTGAATAATGTGTCATAAAAAAAGAAGGAAAAGTTGTGAATTTATTGTAATATTATTTTATTGGAGAATGTGTGGTTGAAAAGAGGAGAGAGAAAAATGCATTTTGATTAAACTGGAGCCCAAACGGGGGCATAGTTTGATTCTCTTACTTCTGGTTTTGTTCTCTTCTCATATCCATCAAAAGCTTTTGTACATTTGCATACCTAACATTTTATTGTGAAACAGTTTATGATGTGACGAGGCGAGAAACATTCATTAATCTGTCTGATATATGGGCTAAAGAAATTGACCTCTACTCAACAAATCAAGATTGTATCAAGATGCTCGTTGGCAACAAAGTTGATAAGGTATCTTTTAGTGGTGTTAACTAGTTATTCATTTTTCATCAAGATAATATGATCCCATGTTATGTTTCCTTTATTTGCCCTTACTACGATGTTCTTTCTTTTGTATTTGAATTATGCATTAAAGTTCTGTATCAAATGTCCCAAATTACAATCACATCTAGAATACTTTTACAGGATAGTGAACGGACTGTTAGCAAAAAAGAGGGAATTGACTTTGCAAGGGAGTATGGGTGCCTCTTCATTGAATGCAGTGCCAAAACTCGGGTCAATGTGGAACAATGTTTCGAAGAACTCGTTTTGAAGGTGAGTATGGTATCCGTACATTTTCGTATTATTTTACTTCCACCCTCATTGATCTTTTTGTCTATGCTTGTTTATGAATCCACCTACATGCATGTTTTGGGTGGCTGTTTGCCCGCTTTTATCAGTTTGGGTTTCTTGCATACAATGATTTATTTGGCCTTAGGGAGAATTCCTAGTCTTGGTTTCGGTTTTTCGAGATGTATCAGAACTTTTTCACTTGGAATATTTATCTTTGATTTTGGGTTCATGACCTGTGATTGCTGATGGATGAGTATTCTAAGTAATAATCTTTCTTGATCTCTTAGCAGATGCCAGCAAGTGTTTTAAGTAATAACCTTTCATGAGCTCTACATAATAATATACCATATAATAGGTGCAATGAGTGTGAGCAGGAAATCAATTTTATGCAGATGGGCATGCTGTTTTGTTATGCAATGCATTGTTAACTTGGACCGTGCCCATGTACACGGTCCCACCCGCCCCCTCACATCGGGGGCGGGGCCCAAACGTGGGCCCCGATGTGGGACCTCGCCCCATGTGAGGGGGCGAGGTGGGCCTGTGTACACGGGCGTGTAAACGCCCGTGTACAATGGTGATGTAGGATGAATAACAAGAAATAAGAAGGAGAGGAGAGGAGGAGAAGGGGAAATCGGGGGAAGAAAACACAGAGGCTGCGGCCAACTTTTATTCAATTAATTCATCATCGTCTCAACAATAATGTAAAATAGGTTTAAATACTGAAAAATATTGCAAACCTAAAAGATAGGGCCAAGCCCAATAGATAAGTCCGTAAAAATAAAATAACCCAAGTCCAACTAAGAAATAAAAGTCCAACTAAAATAATTAAAACTAGGATGTCCTCATCAATTCTCCCGGGGTGGGAGAGAAGACTCAACTCTGTCGAAATATCACCATAGGCATCCGTCAATCTCCCAACCATAGGCTGAGTGGCTGGGCAAGCTTCTTTCGGCGTCTGTAGAAATGCGTCAGTGGCGGTCTGAACCTGGTCTCCTCACCAACTCCCCTCAGGTGGACGGGAGGCGATCTGGGCCAATGAAGATCCTGCTGACTCCGATAAAACTCTGATAAATTTGGATCCAATTGCTGTAGTGTCTCCCTGGAGATCCATGCACAGTCACAATCTGGTCGACCAACCCAACGAACAAGGAAGCGCTGAACCTCTCCATCATTAGTGAACACAGTTTTTTCATCTAAAATAGTTTCAATTTTTTCTGTGTGTGCTGTGAGAGGTGGTAGTGGGTTAGAAGGGGTCAAAGAATCAGGATCAAGATCCACAAAAGGAGATGACAGAGGATCATCTGAGGGAATGAAATTGTCTTTATAAGTTACAAGGTCCTCAACATTAAAAGTAGAGGGGTAACCAAGGTGTGGTGGAATGTCAACAATATATGCATTTGGACCAATGTGCTTTAAAATTTTAAAAGGACCGGCACTACGAGCTTGTAATTTAGAGGCGGGTCCATGTAGACGCCGCTCTGGCCTAATGCGAACCATAACGTAATCCCCAATGTTAAACTCAATATGTCGTTTGTGTAAATCAGCTTGGAATTTATATTTTGCATTACTAGCTTCAAGTTGTTTATTGATCTCAATATGCAAGTCACGAAGATGTTGTGCAAATGTTTCGGCTGATACTGACACTCTAGCCTGTGGGGACATAGGGATGAGATCTAACGGTTTCCTAGGCTTGTACCCATGAACGGCTTCAAATGGACTCATACCTAATGAACAATTTATGGAGCTATTATACGCAATTTGAGCTACAGGAAGGATCAAATCCCAATTTCGAAGGTTTTCTCAGACCAAACAACGTAATAGGTTATCAAGACTTCAATTAACTACTTCAGTTTGATCGTCAGTCTGAGGGTGTTAGGCCGTAGAAAATTTCAATTTGGTACCCATCTTATGCCACAAAGTTCTCCAAAAATGGCTAGTGAAACGAACGTCCCTATCAGACAGGATGGTCTTGGGGAGCCCATACAATTTGACAATTTCATTAAAGAATAACAGGGCAACCTTGGACACATTCGACGTCTTGCTACAGGGGATAAAATGAGCCATCTTTGAGAAGCGATCGACAACCACAAAAATAGAATCATGCTTCTTTGGGGTGCGTGGAAGTCCTAACACAAAATTCATACTAACATCTTGCCAAGGACAATTAGGGACAGGGAGAGGAGTGTATAGACCTGTGTTCTGCTTCTTTTGCTTACTCAATTGACAAGTGTTACAAGTACTAACAATCTTAACCACGTATTTCTTCAAGCTAAGCCAATAGAATTAACGTTCAACTTCCTCTATGGTCTTATCACGTCCAAAATGACCGGCTAACCCTCCCGCATGAATTTCCCACACGATGAAATCTCGCACTGAAGTTCGAGGGATGCACAATCTATTGGCTCTAAAGAGATAACTCTCCTAAAGTCGGAAGCCATCTGTGGCGCCTGATTGTCCCCTTTGTAAATCAAGAAAGATATCTTTAAAATCGGGACATACCTCGTAATCCTCCTTAAGTCTTTCAAAACCAATGACCTTGACACTCATGATCGACAAAAGGGAGAGACGACGACTTAACGCATCAGCTGCTTGGTTCTGTACGCCCTTCTTGTGTTTTAAAACAAATGAATAGGCTTGCAAATATTCGACCCAACGACCATGCCTAGAACTTAATCTTTTCTGGGAGTTGAGGTAACGGAGGGCCTCGTGATCCGAATAAAGGACAAATTCCTGGGGTAACAAATAGTGGCGCCAATAGTGCAAAACCTGGACCACCGCATACAGTTCCTTCTCATAAGTTGAGTACCGCTGCTTGGCTTCATTTAACTTCTCACTGAAGTAGGCAACCGGGTGACGATCCTGACTCAAGACTCCGCCTATACCTACCCCGGAGGCGTCACATTCAACTTCAAAGGCTTTGAAAAAATCGAGAAGACACATGACAGGGGGCCTCCGTCATTCGCTTTTTGACTAACTTAAAGGCCTTAGCCGCCTCTTGTGTCCAATGAAACTCCCCTTTCTTCAAGCACTCCGTAATAGGTGTCATAATAGTGCTAAACCCCTTAATAAAGCGACGGTAAAATGTAGCTAAGCCGTAAAAGCTCCTGACGTCATGAATAGCTTTAGGCTCAAGCCAGTCAATAATCGCCTGAACCTTAGCAGGGTCAGCAAATACCCCTGTCGAAGAGATAATGAACCCCAGAAAAACGACTGTGTCGGTGAAGAAAAAAGCATTTCTTGACGTTACCACATAGATTAGTTGCACGAAGGGTAGAGCAAACTTGTGTGAAGTGGTCAAGGTGTTGCTTCTTAGTCTTACTATAGATGAGGATATCATCAAAGTAGACAACAAGAAACTTTCCCATGAAAGGTCGGAGAGTTTGTGTCATTACTCGCATAAAGGTACTTGGCGCATTACTCAGCCCAAAAGGCATGACCTGCCATTCATAAAGACCATCTTTCGTCTTAAACGCGGTCTTCCACCCATCACCGGGCGAATTCGAATCTGATGGTACCCACTCTTCAGATCAATCTTCGAAAAGATCGTGGCACCAACCATCATATCTAACATGTCGTCAACTCTAGGAATGAGAAAACGATACTTCACTGTGATCCTATTGATCGCGCGACTATCCACACACATCCTCCAAGAACCATCCTTTTTGGGCATCAATAGGACGGGAACAGCACACGGGCTTAAACTCTCACGAATGAATCCTTTGTGAAGGAGGTCATCCACTTGCCTTTGAAGTTCAGCGTGCTCGGTAGGATTCATCCTATAATGAGGCAAATTTGGGAGGGATGCCCCTGGGACGAAATTTATGGCATGTTGAATATCCCTTAGTGGAGGTAGATGGTCAGGGAGGTCTTCCGGAAAGACATCTCGAAACTCTTGGAGGACTGATAGGATTTCAACAGGGCTCTCTATTGTGGAGTGGGATGGGACCCTCAGGACCACCAAAGCAAACACAACTGAGTCACCAACAAGTGTACGCTCAAACTCCGTAGGACTAATGATGTGCAATCCCTTTCGTTCCACACTTTTCTTCGTTTCCAGTGGGCCAACAGGCTTTGGGAGCAGTGGGTTAAAGTGAATCTTCTTTCCATTAAATACGAAGGAGCAGGAATTGGATCGACCATAGATGGTTACATCTAAGTCAAATAACCAAGGTCGTCCCAAGATGATGTGCCCGACGTCCATTGAAATGACGTCACACCATATATGGTTCTTATACTTGAGAAACTGGATAGGGACTAAACAACGCTCCTTGACAGCTATGGAGGAGGTATCAACCCAAGAGACGCTGAATGGCTGAGGGTGAGGAACAGGCTTCAACCCTAGATGGGATACAGTAGTCATCGAAACCGCATTAATGCAGCTACCACTATCCACGATAACTTTACAACCTTTATTATTAATCTTGATGTAAGTCTGAAAGATGGCATGACGGCGCCAATCATCGGCATCCCTAGGCTGGGTAAGAGTACAACGGACGACATCGACTCTAAGCGTATGGGAGATAAGGGGACTAGCCTGAATACAACCGAAGAAGGTATCTTCACTATCCTCCAAGTCATCAAACTCTTCTAATTTAGGCTCATAAACCTAATCCTCTAGTGGCTCGTCAACTATACCTTCACGCTCTTCCAAAACTAGGGCTCGGCTAGGACACTTAGAAGCAATGTGACCAAAACCCTTACAGTTGAAGCATTGCAAACGGGAGGATGTTCTTGAAATCTCAAAACCTCTACTTTTACTATTCGATGTAGGGGTAGTATTAGAAGGAGGAGGTCCTAGAATAGACTTAGGGGATGGAGTGGATGCAGAAGAGGTTGCAGTGCGGGAGTTACTATGACTTCTGTACGGTGTCCTAGTCACTAACTCGTAATCCCGAACGAAAGAGTAGGCGTGGTCAAGAGTGGTGAGACCTCTAAGAACGAGCTCACGTCTAAGATTATCCCGTAGGCCTTGCCTAAACCTA